TATTTTGACTATGTTGCATTCGACCTATACCTATTGTTCCATTAGTCCATACAAAACGCATCTCTTCGTTTTTGTTGCCCCATGTTTCATCATGCCAAAAAATCTTAGAGCCATCGTTGCGCAGTTCATCAATAGCAGCAAAGTAGCGCGCACGCGCAGCCATAAATGAGGGAGTATCGAGTGCTACAACGACTTTCGATGTTCACTTGTATACAAATCCAATTTTTTTCACCCAACGCCACAGAGATGTTGTTGCCTGAATAGGAAAATTAGAATCTTCGGCCAGAATATGGACAAGAAGTTTTTTTGATGGTAGGATAGATTCGTTCGGCTAAGAGGGAATGAATATGAAATCTAAAACAAAACGATCATATTAATATTACTCTTCTGTTAAATTAAACGGACTGAATAGTCTCTTGTTGTTGTTCGGTTAGAGGAGTTGATGAAAGGCCAGAGTTTGATAGTTTGTGCGGCGAACGAGAAACAGGAACACTAATTGCCATGGTGTTCGTGCTAATTATAGACGAAGATGATGATGATCTCGATCGTAAATTTCGAAGTCGACCAAGCACCTGAAGTTTTTGATTCTCGAAAACACCTGTTGTTCCTCCTCCGTTTTTATCTTCCTTTCTAGCATGTTCGATTTATTTCATCTCACTCTTTAATCTTTCGTCAGATCTCATAGAGATATCAAGCATAGATGATAGTCGTTCATTAACATTGAGGAGTGGGATTACTGGTCCAAACTTCTGTTTTTCGACAATTTGATGACATTGAAAAATATTTGTTTCATGTCTTGAGAAAATTCATAGCTTTTAGGCATCGTTATAGTGAACGTTGACAGTACAAATAACTATTTACAGCTGAAAATACGTTATGGTACAATCAGTAAGAGAAATACCCGAAACAGAACGTAAAAATATATGATCCGATCTACGTATAGTCCTAAACGTGTCGCTTTTGATCCTAAGTATTTGTGAAATATAATGTATGTATTTCAAGTTAACAGTGTAATAACATATGAAAGTAATATCGTACAATCGTTAGTGATAGTGTTTTGATAGAAAAAGAGTTGTTCTATATTTAAAAGAACATTTTCAATTGATTCGTCATCATCAAAAACATCAGTAATGATAATTTGAAAAATATTTTACACAAGGTAAAATTGATAAANTTCACTAGGTCGCGTTCAATCTTTACCGCTTGCTCCATCAGTCCATACAAACCACCTCGCTTTGTTTTTGTTGCACCATGTTTCATCATACCAAAAAATCTTAGAGCCATCGTTGCGCAGTTCATCGATAGCAGCAAAGTAGTCCGCACGCGCAGCCACAAATGAAGGGATATCGAGTGGTACAATGACTTTCTATGTTCGCTTGTACACAAATTCAAATTTTTCTCACCCAACGCCACAGAGATGTTGTTGTCTGAATAGGAAAATTAAAATCTTCGGCCAGAATACGGACAAGAATTTTTTTGATCGTAGCATAGATTCGTTCAGCTATAAGAGAACTAATATGAAATCTAAAAAAACGATCATATTAATATTATTCTTCTGTTAAATTAAACTCACAGAATAGTCTCTTGTTGTTGTTCGGTTAGAGGAGTTGATGAACGGTCAGAGTTTGATAGTTTGTGCGACGAACGAGGAACAGGAACACTAATTGCCATGGTGTTCGTGCTAATTATAGACGTAGATGATGATGATGATGATCTCGATTGTAAATTTCGAAGTCAACCAAGCACCTGAAGTTTTTGATTCTCTAACACCTGTTGTTCCTCCTCCATTTTTCTCTTCCTTTCTAGCATGTCATGTTCGATTTCTTTCATCTCACTCTTTAATCTTTCGACAGACCTCATAGAGATATCAAGTATAGATGATAGTCGTTCATTAACATTGAAGAGTGGGATTACTGGTCCAAACTTTTCTTTTTCGGCAAATTTGATGGCATTGAAAAATATTTGTTTCATGTCTTGAGAAAATTCATAGCTTTTAGGCATCTTTATAGTGAACGTCGACAGTACAAATAACTACTCACAGCTGAAAATACGTTATGGTACAATCAGTAAGAGAAATACCCGAAACAGAACGTAAAAATATATGATCCAATCTATATACAGTCTTAAACGTGTCGCTTTTGATCATAAGTATTTGTGAAATATAATGTATGTATTTCAAGTTAACAGTGTAATGGCATATGAAAGTAATATCGTACAATCGTTAGTAATAGTATTTTCATAGAAAAAGAGTTGTTCTATATTTCAAAGATCATTGTCAGTTGATTCGTCATCATCAAAAATATCAGTAATGATAATTTGAAAAATATTTTACTCAAGGTAGAATTGACAAAAACTCGATCAAATACCGTTAGTATTTTGCTCATAACCTTTGAACAAATTGAGATAAAAATTTCGATCTTTCGTAAGTATTTGTTTGATGTCAAATTCATATTATTCTGATGGAAAACTGCGGAATACTAGTCGAAAATCAGAGAAATTGGATCTCAAGAGTAATATTAGATGAAAACTCCTTCACTAGACGTTGAAATTCAAGGTGNATTGCTTACAACTGAGGCATGTTATTACTTACGATGTTTCCAAATGATGATTTAATGGCACACAACTATTACGGAAGTTGTAAACGGAAACCTTCGAGAATCACTATAGACGGAAAACCATTGCCTTTCTGTAGTACTACACGGTACCTGATTCAGCATTGGCAACAATAGATCTAAGCATAATAGGATAAATCATTTAGAACTAAACAATTCGGAGTAGCTATAAAAGTAAGCAAACTTTAAAAATCCTTAAACTAAAAATTAAACATAATCAAACTTAAGAAGAGTTTGATGATTGATGACAATAGGGGTCGACCAGCTAAGTTCACGAACTCCGTTCAAATGAGCTAAAGAACTACTTGCATAGTTCTTTTGAACGAACTGAGCTGTTTCCAACAGTTCGTTCCAAATGAACTGAACTGTTCGAACAGTTCTTTCGAACGAACTGAGCTATCCAAACAGCTCTTCTCAAATGAACTGAACTGATTTAACAGTTCTTTTGAACGAACTGAGCTTTCCAAACAGTTCTTTTCGAATGAACTGAACTTAAAATTAAACTAGCTACTATTACAAAATGGTACTCAAAGGTCTTCAAGGGCTATCCTATCGAAGTATCCACAGGTCCTCAAGGACTATCTGATAGAAGTACCCGGCGGTTCTCAACGACTATCCCATGGAGGCACTGTTGGATCCCCAAATCCCACTATAGGGAGTTTCCTTGGGTCCTCCCGCTCTACTACAGAAGGTATCCTCGGGTCCTCGAGCTCCACTATTGACAGTATCCTTTCGTGCTCATGTAGTACTATAGGCGGTACCATTAGATCCTCAACTTCTACTATTCAGGAGTACCATTGGGTCCTGAAGTCCTACTATAAGGGGGCACCGTGAGGACCTCAAGTGCTACTATAGGGGCACCCTTAGGTCTTAGAGTCCTGCTTGTTAAGGGGTATCCATCTGCCCTCAAGTTATACGATACGGATACCCTTAGATCATCCAGTCCCACTATTGGAGGATGGCAATGAGTCCTCAAGTGCTATTATTGGGGGTCAATTTTGTCCTCAAGCATTGTATTCAGGGGTACGCTTCAGTCCTCAAAAATCATTCGCAGTATGAAAATAAAACACACATCCTCTGGAACCTACCTCGTGAGGAAATAGACTACTCTGCCTCAGCTCTTTATTTTTCCGTGGCCTACTGCTGGGATCCCTAAACGAACACATCACATACGATATAGCGCCCTGGAAAACTGTAACATCCGTCATGACATCGCTTCTGATTCTCACGAAAACATAAACGGAAAACTCTTCCTAAGATCTTCTTCACCCAATTTTCGACCAATAAAATTTCAAGGAGCCATTTCTTTCTTATTGTTCGGACAACCACTAGTCATGTTCGGGCTAATCCTAGGGTTATCAAGGATGCTCTATCGAATGAGGGGTATATGTATGGGTGTCGATCGCTTCTATCACTCAGAAACTGAAACTCCCCAATACCATTGGTCGAAAAATGGATCAATCAGATTTCAGGAGGCCTTTTCTTTCTTATTGTTCGAATAACCACTAGTCATGTTCCGACCAATCCTAGGATTATTGAGGATGTCAAGCTGAGCTTGTCGACCTCTAATTGGTACGCCCTACGATAGTCAATGACGACTTATGGGTACCCCTAAAGGATAGCATATGACGACTTGTGGGTACCCCTACAGGATAGCCTATGAGGACTGGTAGGTACCCCAATAGGATAGCCCATGAGGACTGGTGGGTACCCCTATAGGATAGCCCCTGGGGACTTTTGTCTACCCCACAGAATCCGACCTTGTCAGTTCTCTGAGCTGAGCTTAACTGTGCAAACAGTTCAGGTCAGCTCGGGAGAACTGTTCGAACAGTTAAGCTCAGTTCGAAAGAACTGTCCGATCAGTTCAGTTCAGCTCAGCTCTGTTTGTCGAACAATTCATCAGCTCGGAACTGTTCCGAACTGTCGTACCCCTAGATGACAAATCTTAAAAACTACCTGTGCAAATTACTTTAATATTAGATATCATAGTTGAACATGAAACTTTCGAATTAGTGTGTCGAGCTGGCATCCGAATTAAAGTTCTTCATAGGCTTCGAAATTCAGATCGGATGGGTGTGTGACTGTNAACACGTTCAAATGCCTATTGAATTTTCGGTTAGGAAATCAGCAGGGATCAAACAATTGTCATCTGTATAAATAATTCATGTTTGGCGTATACTTTGCTTTGATTTCCTGGTTTTCTACTCAGTATTTAACATGAAATGATGAAAAATAATAACTCGAAAATAATTTGTGAGCAAAAGTACTTTTTCTCGAATTATTATTATTGAAAATCAATTTATCTCCTTGTTGAAGATATTCGAACGTGGCAAATCGTATCTTCGTCTTCGTCCCGATCGTGTGGCCATGCAAGATGCAACGGCACAAATGGCTGTTCTACAATTTATTTCATCTGGTCTGCCGAAAGTTCTCTGTCCAACGACGATTCATTGTGATCATTTGATTGAAGCTCAAACCGGTGGTGAAAAAGATATGCAACGTGCAAAAGTAAATTCTTCAGATATTTTTTTAACAAAACAACATTCTGTTGACTTCAGGATATAAACAAAGAAGTATACAACTTTTTGGCTACTGCCTGTGCTAAATACAATATTGGCTTTTGGAAACCGGGTAGTGGTATTATTCATCAAGTGAGATAAAATGATAGTCAAAAATAAAGTACTTGATATTCATCATGAGATTTAGATTATTCTCGAAAATTATGCCCATCCGGGTTTATTACTAATCGGTACGGATAGTCATACACCAAATGGTGGTGGTTTGGGTGGTTTGTGTATCGGTGTTGGTGGTGCTGATGCAGTCGATGTCATGGCCAATATGCCCTGGGAAGTAAAATGTCCGAAGGTGAGTAGATATTTTAATCGATCCATAATTCGAATTACGAGTGTTGAATGATATTTTGAGGTTATCGGTGTGCGATTGTTGGGTCAATTGAATGAATGGTCGTCGCCGAAAGATGTTATCTTGGCATTAGCCGGTATTTTGACAGTTCAAGGTGGTACCGGAGCAATAATTGAATATTTTGGGCCGGGTGTCGAATCGATTTCGTGTACAGGTAACAAAACAAAGGCGATTTTTTCGTTTTCAAAAATAACCAAGAACGATATTTAGGTATGGGTACAATTTGTAATATGGGTGCTGAAATTGGTGCGACAACATCGATCTTTCCCTACAATTCACGTATGAGCGAGTTTCTCAAGGCCACCAATCGTGAAGGTAGTTTTCTGATGAAGTTTGTCGATTTATTCATTTTTAAAAGTGTTCAATCATAGATGTTGCTATATTGGCTGACAAATATAAAGATAGTTTATTGACAGCAGATAAAGATGCACGATACGATCGAGTGATTAGTATCAATCTATCGGAGGTTGGTGCATCGAATTTTTGATCAATAGAAAATTTGAAGAAAAAATTCTTTTAGCTGGAACCTCATATAAACGGTCCATTTACACCCGATCGGGTTCATTTGATCGATCAATTGGGTGAAGAAGCTGTTAAAAACGGTTGGCCAACCGAAATTAGTGTTGGTACGTTTATTTATTATCTATTGCATTGATTGATTTTGTATTAAAAAAATCATTTATCTCTAGGTCTTATTGGTAGTTGTACAAATAGTTCTTACGAAGATATGACTCGTGCGGCAAGTATTGCTCAGCAAGCCATCGATAAAGGTATTAAAGCCAAGTGCGAGTTTATTGTTACTCCCGGTTCGGAACAAATTCGTGCAACAATCGAACGCGATGGCGTTGTTAGTAATCCACGAATAAAACTCATTTATGATTGTATTCGTTATTGATTTTATATAGGCGGAGAAACTTCGTGCCATAGGTGGTGTAATCTTGGCCAATGCTTGTGGTCCATGTATCGGTCAATGGGATCGAAAAGATGTGAAGAAAAACGAGAAGAATACTATAATCTGTTCATATAATCGTAATTTTCCTGGACGAAATGATGGCAATCCATATACACATGCCTTTGTCACTTCACCGGAACTCGTTACAGCAATGGTTCTTGCAGCTGATCTTCGCTTCAATCCTCTTACTGATTCATTAACAGCTGCCGATGGTAAATTGCAATAGATTGATATTCAATCTTTGTCATTATGATTATTTTTTTAGGATCGAAATTCAAACTTCAATCACCGTACGGGGATACACTTCCAGCGAAAGGTTTTGATCCAGGTGTTGATAATTATCAAGAACCACCAAAAGATGGCTCATCATTGGTAGTTGATGTTGATCCGAAAAGTGATCGTTTACAATTACTTGAACCCTTCGAACCCTGGGATGGCAAAGATCTTGTCGATATGCCAGTTCTAATTAAGGTAGAATCGAATAAAAGTTGAATTTTGTTTTCGTATTTATTTTCTTTTGGAATAGATCAAGGGCAAATGCACAACTGATCATATTAGTCCTGCCGGTGTCTGGCTCAAATATCGTGGTCATTTAGATAATATTTCGAATAATATGCTCATTTGGTATGATTGATTTTAGATTGATCATGAAATCGATTTTGTTGTTGTTTTTCTTCGTATTTATTATAGTGCCATCAATGAGGAGAATGGCGAATCAAATAATGTTCAAAATATACTAACTAATCAGTGGGGTAAAGTACCAGATACGGCTCGTTATTATAAAGTATGTGATTGAAACTTGAATGATGAGTATTAATTCGATAGTTTTAGAGTAAAAATATCCCATGGGTTGTGATCGGTGATAATAATTATGGTGAAGGTAGCAGTCGTGAACATGCTGCACTCGAACCACGTCATTTGGGAGGTCGAGCCATTATTGTCAAAAGTTTTGCTCGTATTCATGGTGAGTAAATTTTGTATAACTTCAATTGAATTATCTCTCGTTCTGGATTACTCTAGAAACAAATCTGAAAAAACAAGGTATGTTGGCTTTAACATTCGATAATCCGAATGATTATACTAAGATTAAACCAACTGATCGAATCTCGTTGATTGATTTGGAATCATTCGCATCTGATAAGGTAATTTTATTGATTTTTCATCGATTCTATGCTGATTTTGTTTTCGTTTTTAGCCAATTGAATGTCGTATAAAGCATCTCGATGGTGAAACGGAAACAATTAAATTGAATCATACATTTAATGAAGCACAAATTGAATGGTACAAAGCTGGATCGGCCTTGAACGCCATGAGAACCTATTTTGCTTCAAATCAAGTAGAATCGAACAATATCAATTCGTCAATAAACACATAGCAGATCGGCAATAAATTATAGGTCTAGTTGTGCGCGAGTATATTTCTTGTAATTGCTTGAACACAAAAATAGAACAAAATATAATTTTACCAGATTATTGATGAATTCCAGTGAACTCTACGAGTTTGAAGTGTGCATAGACAATTACGAGTGTGCCTCAACTACATGTGAGAGTGTGACACTTCCATTACAAGTCATTTTCCACATAGATTCTCCTAATAGCGTTTTGATTAGTTAGAGAAACGAAGTAAACTCATATTGGATTATCAGCGGGTGTGGGGTCTGAATTTGGGGTGTAAATGTGTTTGTATTCGGCTTGCATACCTACATGATTACCCCACACCAACACACACACTATAACACCCATCCATATCCATATTCGTAGTCTTTCATAAATTTGTAAAGCAATCTTCGAGTATTCATTTTCAAGTATTTACTAAATAGTTATATTTAAGTTAAGCAAATGATCTTATTGACTTATATATACACCATTGTAATTCTTACAAGATGCTAAACTAAATAGTATGTGTATGTTTAATTGAATTTTATTATCATAATATTAAAAAATAACAAAACAAAGAAATATGTTGCTACATTTTTGTAGTTATTCACCAATCCTCCTCAAGATGTCGAAGCCATCGAAACATTAAATCAAATGCTTTTTCTCGAACAGATTGTTTGGATAAGAAAATATCATGTTTAGCATTTTCAATTTCATAAATTGTTACTTGTGAACTAATCATAGAAGCAATACGTCGCATTGCTTTTACATTGAGTACAATATCAGCTAAAAATAATTAATTGATTAGATCTATAAAAATGATGTTCAAAGTCTCGAGGCACCTTTTTGGTTTTAGATTGTGTATTTAACGTGTACAACATTAATGGCTCTAACTATATAAATAGACATACTTTTTTTAATACAAGAAACTCTTGAATATAAAATAACGGATGCACCATAATAAATGATCAATCAGTATCTGATCGATAACTTCTTCAGTTTTCATTTTCTAGACTTGAATTTTTTTCCAAACGATATGCGATTCAATTGTCTACAAGACCTGTGCGGAGCAGATTTTTGTACGAAGCGAAATAGAAATACGAAAAAAAGAACATTCAGCATGTTCAAAATGACCTATTTTCTCAGTCATTTCAAAATTAAACTTCAGATTATTTCTTTTAGAATACTACAAACAAAGACACAAAAATGAAGATGTTTTAGAGTACTTTCGACGTCACTTTTTCTTGTCACACAGGTCAAACTTCGTTTGAATTAAATTGAAGATCGAAAAACCTGAGTTTTCAAAATCCTATTCAAAATGGCTCAAAGCTGATCTTTTTGCCTATGGAAGTGTAGAAGCGAATTTTAGGGCAACTTTCATCTCTTGGGTACAGCAACTATTTTCCATCAAAAATAAAGAAAACCCGATTCCAAGTGATGCTATGTTGGATTAGTTAAAATTCTTTTCCCAGAAGCTTCAAAACTACACAGCAAAGCAGGAATGTTCTCGAAAAATTGAACAAGAAAATTATTGGTATATGTCGCAAGAATATGCATAGAAATTTTCAAATTATTATGGATAAATAGAGCTTTTCATGGACTACAAAATGTCTACCACTATATTATTTTTCTAGTCAGTGGCCAATGAAAAAGCTTGTTAGTGCAGTTCCTTTGGAGCTGAAATGTGAAGCTCACATGTCGCATTTAACTTAATTATACTAATACAAATCACACAAAGTGTAAAATCTCTAAGAATTGACAGCTTCTTTCCATTAATGATCGATTGTTAATACATTTTCTATTTTAACATTTCGAACAGAATTTTTATATTCTTTTTCTTACAAGCATCCTATTCATCGTTTTTATTGTTGCTATTCGCTCGTTATTTGTCATTTTTGTATTTATTCTGTCTTAATTTAACATTTTTATTATTATAAATATTGACTTAAATGATAAATATGGTTGTTATAACTATCCATTACTTAACGCAGGTTATTCAGGTTTGTAATGAGGAGGAGGAGGAGAAGGGATGAGTAGGAGCGGTAAAGCTTCGACTTAAAACTGTCACTCATCATTTTCTTCGTATTTCCCTTTAGCTTCGTACAAAAAATAGTTAAATAGTGACTTTATAGAGAATGAAATGGCGGATGTTTTGGAAAAACATTAAGTTTAGAAAATGAAAACTGAAGAAGTTGTTGACCAACTTTTGATTGATTATTTGTAATAGCGCATCTGTTATAATCGGGAAAAAAAACTTTAGTGCTAACAAAAATTAGTATTAATAACTACAGCATGATATGAACAAATGCATTTCAAAGAGTACGGTAGGTGTATAATCCGCTCGTAGACTCTAGTTTTTGTCGTTTGAACGTGAGAAAAAATAGTGATTTTAGTTGAGCTAAGAGTTCGTACTCAAATCAGTTTTTCACGACCATTGTTGACGAATGGTATTACGTGGATAATGATAGGTATTTTAAATTGACTGAATCTCAGGAGTAAATGAGGATTGACAGAATTCTCACAAGCAGAATTTAAGGATTCTGTATTGTCGATAGATTTATCATTATCTGTATCCACATCCTCATTACATCAACATAAATCTTATTATAATATAGTAGCACAATAATAATCCTATTACGAATTCTGCTTATTGCAGCAGAATTCTGATTTTGTAACAGAGTTTTGCTTTACATTGTATATAACGACTATTATGATGTTTGAAAGAGAACTTTCCAATGAATATTGATTTTTGAGGTGCGTGCCAGTTGAAGAAATTTTTATTCCATATAACTTTTATCATAGAAGTCTTTGTAAAAGAAAAAGAAGTATCAATTTGAACTATGATAATATTCGTCATAAAAACCAAAATAACTACAGTAAAATGTCTTTGAAATGAACGCCATCGGAACTGTCGAAAAAGTTCAATATTAAGAGATGTTTATCTATGAGAGATACCTTGTTTTACTAGCAAATGAAAAATAGTTTCAAAGTATAAGATTCTTTACTACGTAGTTTTAAAGTAATCAGAGAGTATTTTCAGCGTGGTTTATCCGCCTACATTTGAGCATTCATGAATCAAAAAATTTCAAGAGAACTTAAAAAATTGTGTTGTTTCGCCGTCTTGTAGTTTGTATTAGATGAAAAGTTTTGAATTTTCGTTTAATACGTTGATTTTAGTTTGTTTTATAATCCGTTACATATTCTTTTCTTTGTTTTAAAATAATGGATACAGGACCAAATGGAATATTTCAGTTCTCGACTATTTCACACTGTTATGAACCAATACTATTGTTGTAATCATAAATTAATTAATTTGTTTCATTTAATGTAAAATTATGCTAGGATTTCATTGCTTTTAGTAATGTGTAAAGTTATAAGAAACAATGATCAGCAATGATTTAGAGGAAAGAAAGAAAACAAATATTGACATTAGTCGAATTTATGCTTACTTCGCTCAATAGGAAATATCAATACTATTTAAATCATTTGTATATTCTTTTAGTTCTTGTTAATCATAGTTAAGGTTCTCAAATGCATACACTAATATATAATTAATATAAAATGAAAAAGGAGTAGATCTAATTCTTGATTCATTATGCATTCACATTATTCAAATTGGTATGTTCATCTGCATAATTAAAATCGTTAATCTGTTCTTTATAACGAATATTATCGAATTCATTAGATTGAAATTTATGAATATACATAATAGACATAAACTTTGTAATAAAATTAACTGAAAATGATTGGCAACATCAACTCAATATAAAAGAATTCGTATAATAACTTACATGGATTACGATCACAGTAATCGAAGATCTTTTAAGCAAGGTCTTGTTCGAGGTACAAGGTAATCTGGTAGCGACATCTGCAATGAGATCTCGAGTACAAATTTATAAGATCGTGACTGGAAAATACAGGATCAAAGGAATCACAAGGATCCTTTATACAGGATTCTAATTACGTCTGAATACTGCTAATGAAACTGAATTCTAAGCAGAATTTTGATTGAAAAACAAAGATGAGAGTATATAAAGAGGCAGTCCCATACATGTAACTCTGTTTGAAATTCATTTTTTTCATATTTATTTGGTGATTTATTGGACTTTGCTTGTGTACTGAAACTTATGTCAGAGGAATATGATGCTGAGTTGTTTTCGTTAATACTTAAGTTTATATTTGTATTCTATATTCAAGAATTTCCATCAGGGAATCCGGTAAGTCACCTTTCTTGAACCAAAATAATTTTTGCTCGATTTCGAATTTTTCATTGCCAAACATGTATTGTGAAATGTCCTCTGTTAAGTGCTGAAATAATCAGAACTTTGCAAAGTCGTATAGGCTCTGAAAAGGCTTAGTTTCGAGAGTGACTATCTTGAAAAAAAAAGCCTATATTTTGTTTTTAGTATACGAATCTGTTCTAATTTCAAATGAGCAAAAGAGGGAAAAGATACATATGAAAACGAAAGAATATTTTACTAGGGTCACCTTCAACTGGCTTATATATATACTCCCGGAAAAAAATACTTATAGTTTGTATTTCAAACACTTTGTCACTATAATAATAGATCTTCTTAAAACTACTTAAAAATTCTGAAAGCATGTGGAGTTTTCTATCATTACGGATACTTATATTTTAGTTTACATCTATGCATTACCAACATAAATTGAGTGCAGTGAAGAAACCCTCATGTTCAGACGCCCACTTACTTGGTTCTTTCTCTGTCATCAAAATTACGTAGTTTTTTCAATTTTTCGTGACTTTACAATTATTTTTAAAGAACACAAAGGAGTTAGCGCCGTTCACATTGATTATACACCATATATCGTGCTTATCTTGCATATACACTGAGTTTTGATAACTGAAATGTCGAAATACGAATCATTTGTCGCTGTCTTCTATAGAGATAGCCCTTATTATTTTTCTTGGTGAAACTATAAATGTTCAATGTCTGATATAGTACTTTCATATCGCCACATAACCCGCAATAAAAAAAAA